AGAGGCTGGCAGGGCAGGCGGGGAACATTGCAGTCCTCCGTCACTGAAGCAAGCAAGCCTCATGTTCGCTTTAAGCTGCCTGGCTGCCGGCTGCCATCTTGGCTGGCAGTTAATTTGCATATCTTGCTGATTAGCCAATGGGAAGGGTAGCGGACGTACGCTAATTACCACGTTTCTCTTTTATTAGATAGGATTGTTACAGTATAAATATTACTTTCAGTGCATACTCTGTAAGTATTATTAGAGTATCAGTATTACTTATTAAACACCTAAGATGTACCAAGTACTTTTCCAGGTGCTGAGGAAACAGCAATGAATAAAAGCACATCATCCCCTTGCAGAGTTCACATTTTAGTGGAACCTAAGAGACTGGGGAGATATACATTCCAGAGTGGTAATCTGGTGACGTTTTCACTTCACCTTCCTCAGTTTTACCTCCTTCACTGACAAGCAGGGCTTTCTTGCATAGCTACTTCCCATCTTTTTGTGCATAAGACATGATAGTAGTGACATTATTCTACACAAAGAAAAAAGATCGTGGGATGGCTGATTTTTGGTAAAATCTGACTCCTCCCATTCAAGTCTCAGAAAAGCAGGGTCTTTATGAAGAGTTGTTTAAATCTATTTAAACTTTATTTCTTTTAAAAGAGAAATTAATATGTGAGTAAAAAAGAATCTGCAGGTGTGACATTTCTATTTTCAACAAGTTTTGCTAAGATTCCATATGCCTTATACAATGAAGATAATAAATAGCTGTATATCTGGTTGAAGGTCTTTGAATTATCATAGGATCCTGAGAAATTGTTGCTTATGGATAAACTAGAGGCCTGGTGCATGAATTCACTCACGGGTGGGGTCTGGCTGGCCTGCCTAGGCAGGGCCGGCCCAGGGGAGGGGATGTGGGAGGTTGGCTGGCCAGCCCCACCCCAATTGGGGGTGGAGGGGAGCCGATCAGGGATGGGCTGGCTCAGAGGAGGGGCTGAGGGCAGCTGGCAGGCCGCCCTGCCCCCTGGTCGAACTCCCAGTTGAGGAGACAATTTGCATATTACCCTTTTATTATATAGGATAATGGCTTTTTATCAAACAAAATGGGAGTAATGGAGAATTATTCTAAGGAAACAGTATAATAATGGGCTCTCCCACTAATCATATTTTCACAAATAGTCTGATAGTGGAGTACATAATGAAAGCCTTAAGCTTACATCTGTATTTAGAGCTTCTCTTGTAGTGACATGACAACCTAAGGGGTAGGAACATCTGGAAAGTTTTACAAAATTGTGTGGTTGGGAAGAAAAGATGCACATGATTGTCATGCTAGGCAAGTATGCCCTATGACTATTTTTATAACTGGCAACTTATAATTTTTAATCCCTTCACCCTTCTTGCCTACCCCCCAGCGCCACTCCCACCAGGCTCCTATAGTTTGTTCTTTGTATCTTTGAGTTTGTTTCTGTTTTGTTTGTTCATTTATTTTGTTATTCAATTCCACCTATACGTAAATTATATGGTATTTGTCTTTCTCCATCTGACTTATTTCATTTAACATAATATTCTCTACCTTCCATATTGTTATAATGGCAGG